TGTAATTCTCTTAACTTGTTCATGTTTATTTTATATTATCCTCCTACTGTTTTATTTTTTATTATTATTTTTTGTTTGTTTTTGTATTATGTTTTCTGTTATTACTTGTGTATTGTTTTAAGCAATAAAAAAACAAGTCCGAATGATCAGAGGATTATGTTTAGAATAAGATGTCTGTCAACGAGAGCTGCATGTTTTGTTCATCGAATTTAAGAGTTCAAGGAACAATTCTAAATTCTAAATGTATATTTGACACTAAGGACAGTGATGTATTCAGTCAACTGTCGAAGCTGGGTGTAATCATTAACAATACGCCGCTGCGGTCGTTTCGGATCTGCCGCAAATGCTGTACAGTGATCATCGTGCACGCCGAGCTGCCCAGCACCAACTCCTAACCTTTCTGCCTCCCTCACTTGGTCCTCCATTAGTGCAACAAGAGGAGACGACAACAACTATCGGCTTTGCATCCTATCGTTTGCCTTAGCTAACTCATTCACCACTAGCGGAGTGAGCTGGAAAATTAAACTTTTCCCGAACCCCGTGGGGAGGAGGGCCACAACATCATGGCCACCAACAACACTTAGCAAACATTGATCTTGCTCCGGCTTTAACTTCTGGATATTCGGCAGTTTTGCAACAACGGACCGAATAGATTTTCTCACGTCTTTCTCCGCTGCCATTACTGAACTCCAACTCAAACTGACGCGCTACATCAACGTCATCGTTCTCAGCCACTCCCTCTGTTCGCTGATTGGACCGGTAAAAAAATTATTTCTGGAAACCAAAGTCTACAGCACAATCCCAGACGTAGTACTGAAGGAAAATAAAATTGAGCGGAAGTGCGTAGGAGGGCGGAGCCAGGCTATCTCAGTGTAGCTCTGGAAATGAAGTTCATTCAAATTCCTTAATTCCGCTTTATACAGTAAATTCCATTTTTATGAATGTATTCTGGCCACGTTTTCTGCATCACATAAATCATAGAGCCCTACATTGGATACCTACTAAATTTACTGAAATGTTTAGTATGCAACAGACCGCAATACAATGCAGTCAAATTGCGTTTATGTGAGATCTAAAAATAGGTTGTTTCTGTAATAAAGAACATATTCCTGATCGATATACTGTTGCTTTTAGGGGCTTATGGTCTACCGGTCTCCCCAAACGCAATGAGGCAAAGACAGGAGCGGACACCACGGCGGCAGGACCCCTGTTCCAGCAGAGACCGTACCCCAGTCCTGGAGCCGTCCTGAGAGCCAACGCTGAGAACACGAGACGCTTGGAGGAGGACGATGATTCTGATGATGACTGAGCAGGAACAGGGTCTTTAAAGCCTTTATGACTGTTAAAAGGCTTTTGTAATTTCTTTTCTTACATTTAGGACAGATTCATTTGTAAATATACCATGTGTTGTATGTTATGCATTTTATAAACAATCGTCATTTTACATAACATAGTGATGCCGTTCCCTGCAAAATAAACATTTTGTTTGAAGGTGCGTCAAGTGGTTTGGTGCTCATTTGAAATGATTTACTTATTAAAACAAATAAGAGACTAAATTATAAGTTATATAGTCTTGAATAAGTTTTAAAGTCTTAAATTGTGGGTGGGGGGGTGGGGTGGGGGGGGGGGGGGGGGGGGGACTTAGTTTATGCTTAAAACAAGAAAACACAAAATATGTCAGTGATGCAAGAAAAATAATCTCGCTTTCCCTTGAATTAAGTTCTATTTTTAAAGGAGCTGTATGTAAGATTGTGGCCAAAACTAGTACTGCAATCACTTTCAAATTACTGTAGAGTGGTGTATCCCCTCCCCCTCCTCCCTGACTCGAGGTTGCCAGATCGGCTGCAGGATCCAGCAGGAACGTGACGAGCTGCAGCTGTGGTAACTAGAGCAGAGCTGGCAACCCGGATGCCGCAACACTACTGACTTCGTGATTGGTAGACAGGTGGAGGGTGGAGCATCAGACCAAAACACAACATGACAACATCAACATCAGTTGAGGGCTGCAACTGCACTTTTTAAATGACAATATCCTGGCCAGACTACTGTTGTCAGTGATATAAGTATTTGAAATGTACATGATTTCTTAATGTCTAGTGACATTTCAGGGCCATTTTATGATTAATTGAAATAAATTTCTTACATACAGCTCCTTTAATAGATGATTTATTTTTTTCTGAAACCAAGAAGACTTAATATATTAAGCTATTTTGCTTCTCAAGTAAATGTATCTTGATTTAAAGCCCCCTGTGGTGAAAATCAAGCTTTAAAGTCCCTGTAAAGTAAAAATTAAGTATGTGTTCTGAGTTTGTCACACCACAGAAAAATGTGTTATTAGCCACCCAGACAAATTTGAATGATAAAAAAAGCCGGCAAGTACATAAAATAAGCTATCAAAATCTTGAAAAAATGAGCAGTATTCTCTGCTCTCAAACGCTGGGGGCGTGTCCGCTGGCTGCGCTGAAACCACGCCCACTCGCGGGAAAGCTGCCGACGCTGATATTAGGTGATGCTTTCGGGACCGGGAGATAGTCGGTTCGGCCCCGTACTATTCACCAGTAACAGCGGATTATCAGTGAATCCCAGTTGTCTCCGACGAAAGTTTATAAAACTATCCCGTGTAAAATGATCGCTACAGAGGCGGGTGTTGGCGGTGATCCTCAGCTCTCAATCAAGGTTGGCTCTTCACAAAATTAATCCACCTCTTCTTGATGTGATCGTTTTTAGGAAATTTAAATAAAGACACCGATCTGTTTTGTACATGATCGCATCCAGGTAGTAGCCTACGCATTTCCGTGTCTAAGGCATAGCTAGCTAGCAAACTGTAGGCTTGTAGGAGCACGCTTACGTCATTATGGTGCGTGCGACGGTTTCGGGATAAGAAGAGCGGCGCTCTCTGAACACAATGAAGTCCATCGCTCTGTTTTCTTTGTGGATAATTTTGTGTCGTTTGGTCCACGGTGGTCCACAGCCTGTTGTTAAACAGATGCGTCGCCTTAGTGGCGCGAAAATTTTCACGTAATCGTGCTGCTCGTATGAGGAGGTTTGCAAGGTACCAGCTGAAGTGCAGCAAGGACTTTGCAGCTTTGATTACGGACTGTGTTGGTTTTGGAGCGTCGCAAAACCATGACATCACGCGTCCTGTTCCGTGCTCCAGCACGGTTAGCGCTCACACTGCATGCGAACCGCGCCCGAGTCCAACTGAACCGTGCTCTGGTCCACCTCTTCCAAGCGGGCCAGGGCCGGCTAATCGAGCCGCGCCCGGGCACGGTTCGGAGCACTCACACTAGTCAAACGAACCGCGCTTTGGTGGTCAAACGCACTCGGGCACGGTTCAAACTGGCTTGTGTGAGTACACCCTAATAGTACTTGACAGTAAGTCGCGATTGAGTGGCCTCAGTGCGTCATCAAGTAGGGGCGTGTCCAGGAGCTCAGGGCCTCCAGTGCGTCATCGAGCCCCGTTTTAGCCCCGCCCAAAAAATCAGGAAAATAGCAATGGTGAAAAACTGTTTAACGGTCTAACTCCACAATTCAGTAATTCACAGTTCACAGTCTTTGTAATATGTTTTAGCAATACATTTCTAACATTTATAATGGGTTTAGATTTTTTTTTTAGAATTGCCTTTACAGGGACTTTAATGTTGTTTATATGTCTATGTGGTGTTTTTAATATACTGTAAGACAAACCATGTGCAAATTCATAAGACAACACCGTTGCTTAGTATTTTCTCCTTAAAACTGCAGTGAACCAAACTGGTTTGAATCACTGGTGTTTCTGACGTCATAAACTACCCAGTAACCAATCACATCAACAAGTGGATCCCTCTGCTGGTGTGAGTGAGTGGAGGCGGGGCTAATTTGCATATTCAATGCATACTAAATGAGGCAAGGGTGTAGAGTTACATTCAAGCTATTTTAATGTATTTAAATATGTAATTTTGGTGATCAAAGATGAGTTTTAATTGATACAATTATTGACTACAGGGGGACTAATACTATTTAGATATTTGTCAAAAAACAAGATCGACAAAAAACAAGTGAAAACATCGGCATACATAAAGAAAAGCTGAAGTAGTGACAACCAAGCTAATGCCACTTTAATAGCAAAAATACCTATTTTTTTGGTGTATTCTTTAATCCTGACAACATATTAAATAATTGTCAGTTATTTCATATGTAAGGCTTGTCAGGATAAAATATATATATACAGTATAATTAATAATAATAATATGTAATACTAAGAAAACGTGTTTGTAACATATTTGGTGCATCAGTTTTTTATGGCCCACATGGAAATGTGGAGCTCACTCTCGAGGAAAAAAAATCTTTTATTCAGAGGCCCATACTGAGCAGAAATATGCAATTTGGTGCAGATGATGTTATTTATATGGCCAAAAGGTGAGATGAAACTCTGATAGCTTATAATGTATATCAGTGAGATTTCCATTAGAGACTACTTACATAAAATGCATATAAATATCAGTTGTCACTCTATAGACTGGTTTCACAGGCAGAACTTAGATTCAGCCTTGTATGTGAAACCGGGGGTATATCCTCTAATAATGTCGAAGTAAGAGTTTAGTTCAACTTTAGTTTAGCTTTTATGATCAAAGCTCTGCGGTTTCTATTGTGGGGGCAAATAATGCAAAGCAATACAATGATGATTGAAAGATTTACAAGTAAAAGTTCCTTAAAAGCCTGATGTATATTTAATACTTGGGTTTTAACATGATTTTTCTAAAATATTATGTATGGATAATTAAGTAAACCCAATTTGCAAATGTATCTTGAAATATTAATAACATAAAAGTTATTCTTACATTTACTTGTATAAAAATCTATGCTAAATTAAAAGGCCTTTAAAAAAAAGTATGATTGTGTACAACAGGTTTGTCAGGAAAGTTAATCATGTTGATAATTTAGAGGTCTTAGAAATTCATGTATAAAATATAGGGTAAAGGACGAGTGATGTTATAGACCAAGATATCAATTCAAAGACATTTTGAAGGAATTTTAATATTTTATTATAAAAAGATAACATGAGTGAAAATTCTAAGTGGCTTGTGTATAACTCTGTACAAACTGTTAACCTTTTCATAAATTCAGATCTTTATTGGACTAAGAAACCATGCAGAGTTTCAAAAGTTTTTGGATTCTAATTGGCAGTGAGATATTTAATTACATTGGGCCAAAATGAAATGTCATGTTCTTCCCAGATCAGCAGCAGACACTCAAACACTGATGCTACAATGGCTGACCTGCGTAAATGTTCATTATCACTATACAGAGAGGAAAATGTCACTTTTTGTCATTGATCCCGCTCACATTTCTAAGCACAACACAAAATATGCAAAATATTTTTTCGTAACAACAGACTCTTACTAACAAGATATTATGTTGCTTTAAGATCACGTGTCTTATCATTCAGATGCGTTTAAAAATACAACACAACTAGTAAAATAAATTAAGTCTTGGTTGTATTAAAAATGTAATGTATCTGACATGTTGGTCACTATGAATTAACGGAAGCCAATCAAAACAGGGTCGGGATGATGAAAGGCGTGTCGTATCATCCGATTGGTTTCTCAGTGTTCTGTTCCGCCCACATAATGACAGATGGCATCGTAGTCGAGAGTGAACAGCTGCTCCTCGTAACGGTCCAGCTGAACCATGGCTCGACACTTCTCCCGGTCTCGCTTCAGGATGCGGCCCACCTGCAAGATAAGCCATTATCATTCTACAGCATAAATGCACTTCTTCATATATATATATATATATATATATATATATATATATATATATATATATATATATATATATATATATATATATATATATATATACACACACACACACATACATGTATATATTTAAGAAAAATGTGTAATTTATATATAATATAAATCATATATAAATATATACAGTATATACATGCAAATATTTCTATGCATGTGTGTGTATTTATATATAAAAATAATTATACACAGTACACACACACATTATGTAAACAAACGTTTATTTTGGATGCGACTAATCACTATTAATCGTTTCACGGCCCAAATTGGTATGCACAAATATTTTATTTTAATTAGGTTACCAATTTTAACTAATTTTAGTAGTGAATAAAACTAAAATAAAATCCATCTTGCTGTGCATTCTGGGATTGCCTCATATGTGATAAATGCCACGCAGCCTGCCTTTGGACCAAATGAGGTATAAGCAGAGCTATTTTAGTATCATTTATATACGGTTATATTATTTATTCATATTTTGAATTAGCTTTTGTTTTTATATTTTGTGTTTATTTATTTAGACTTTTATTTTAGTTTTTGTCATTTTCAACTTATTTTATTTAAATAACTTGCCACGGCAACATTTCTAATTTTTATTTGATGAAGGTTTGCTATTTCACGTGATATTTATTTTTAATTTTTGCTTCACTTCAAATTAATTAAAATTATTTGAATAGGTTTACTTCATAACAAGTAATGTCAACATTATTCTGTGTGTAACACCTTGATGAAGTCCAGAAGTGTCTGACGCCTGCAATGCTGTCTAAGTAGGCGGCCCACTAGGATTCGGAAAACAGAGCAAACAAGTGAATCCATATACCTGTCCTCGGTGTTCTCCCATAACCACCATAACGAAGTCCGAGTCGTTCTTGGGTACAATGGTCTCCAGCATTTTCTGTCTAATATCTGAAACAGACAAATGATTAAAACCAGTTATAAGGCCAAAGTCTCACTGTTAAAATGCCTCTTATAATGGTCAAGGTGAAAGTGTGTCGTACCGTCCAGCAGCCTGTTGTCCTCTGTACGACACACACAGGTGTGGGGCGTCAGGACATCCTCGATTCTCATCTAAACACACAAAACAAATGAAAAAAATTTACTTCAATTTATACTAATATCTTATGGCTTCATAATATCTTAATTATGGATAATCGGGAAAAAAAAAACATTCTGTTCAGTGCATTTATGAAAACAAGAACACATCTGTGTTTCCCTCCTAAAACACCAATACAGACACTGTACTAAACAACCCAGGCTCACAACACTAGTCAAGTACCTTAGAGTTGTAGTATTTGCCTCCTTTGAATGCTTTATCTATGAATCGCACACGGAGGTCGCGTTGGAGCCATGAGGGGGCCGGTGGAGAGGGACGCGACTCTTTAGCCGGGGGAGGCTTCTCTCTGGCAGGAACAGGACGTTCAAACACATAAATATAGATTCAATATTATACATGTGAAACATGCTGTTCTTGAGTGCCTGTCTTACCTGTCTGCACTTGACTCTCTGTGTTTCCTTTTCTTCTGATCTTTCTCTCTGTCTGTCTCCCGGTCTCGATCTCTATCTGTCTTTCCCCTCTCATCTTTGCCGTTTAACTTCTGCTCTCGTACCCTCTGCTGTTCCCGCTCTTTTTCTCTCTCTTTGTCCTTGTGTGCTTTACTAAGACGACCTGGTAGACAAAAACAACGATTAATTCAATGTTATTTTGGTTTGTTTGTATACGTTCCTGTGGATATTGCGTGAATGACGGGTGGTTGGGTAGATATTGTGTTTTGCGGTAGGTGGTATGCCATACGGAACCGTTGTCCACTGAAACTGCATATTAACGCACCAGTGGGGCTCGACAGCCTTAGTCAACGGGTTGGCGCGTATGGTTGGGTTGCGGAGAGATTGTGATATTGTGGTTAGGTCTCAGCAGCAGGAGGGATGTAGAGGTCAGTAAGCTGGGCTGAGTTGAGTGGGGGACGGAGGGGGGTGACTCTGGGACGCCAGAGTCACTGTCGAGCCCTCTTGAGGTGTCGTGGGCTAGTCGACGAAACACTGAGGACGGAAGGTGCCCACTTGAAGACCCTAGAGATGTCCCCTACTCTGTTCAATCCAGACGGTTGTCGTGCTGGTCCTGTAGTTGCAGCCGTCGCGTGCGCTAACGCGCCAAGTACACTGCTGCCGTTAACGCCGGACAGAAGGGGAGTCACACTACCTTATGGAAAGAAGCGTAAATGGATGGAGAAGCATAGTTTACTGTAAAGCTACGTCTTAGTTTTGCTTATCTTGGCGAAAGCCGAGTACAAATCAGCATGAAGTTTTAACATCTACTCTCGTGTAATGGAAATCATGAAGATCTGGATACATCCAGTGACTGCGGTGAATAGTGCTGCTGGCAACCAGGGAAAGACCTTGTGACAGCCTGGAGAGACAGCTGACAGGAGGAAAGAGACCCCAATGGGGCTGGTAAGGGTTAGCTACCCTTGTCGGCAGTATCCAGCTCCGTGTTTACAGGATGCTGGAGACACCCGCCCAAGGCTTCTGAGAAATTAAAGAGAAAAATACCCCTAGAGTCTGCGAGAGCGGGGGCGGAAGATGACTCAATGTTGGACAACATGGTTAACGACTTAGGAATGGAAACGGATATGAGTATGGAGAGTAAGACTAGTTCAAGAGCTGCAGTAAGTAAAGTCATTGAACTCCAAGTTTGTGTCTGTGGCTGGAGCAAGGTGACAACGGTCAGGGGTTTGAAGGTTCATCAAGGGAAAATGAAATGCTTGAGGGAGAAGGGACAAGGGCCTCGCATTGATCAGTACTTCTTACAAAGTCAGTCAAGTCAGTCGAATGAAATCCAGCGACAGGAAGCAAACCACAGCTCGCAGGATATCAGCACCCCTGTCATTGACGAAAGGAGGGCTTGCACAGTTAGTGATGAACATATTCATACTTGTGAACCCGGTCAGGCTAACCAGCATAAGAGAGAAAAGAACCTCAACGGGCATAGGCCTGGAGTTAGATGGCCAAGAGCTTGTGAGAAAACTGCATGGGACACGGTAAACACAGATCTATGCTTTGCATTGGAAAGATTAACTGGTACAGTTGAAAAGAAGCTGGATAAATTTGGGGACATCATTTACGCATATGGAAGTGAGAGGTTTGGTGTGGAAAAAAGGAAGGAAAAAGTACAAACTACTCCTGGAATGTCTAGACGGCAGCAGAAAATTGAAGGGTTAGTTAGAGAAAGGAGACAGCTGAGGAAGCAATGGAAAAGAGCAGAACAAAGTCAGAAGGAGGGACTCAATCTCTTACAAAGGGCCATAAAAGATAAGCTGGCAACATTACGCAGAGCTGAGCGCCTACGGAAACGCTACAAAAAGAAGGAACGTGCGAGGGCTAATTTCTATAAAGACCCATTCAAATTCGTAAAGAAGTTATTCACCAGTGAGAAGAATGGCACTTTAAAAACATCTAGGATTGAGCTAGAGAGATATTTGGAGGACACGCATACAGATGCAAAAAGGCATGAGCCTATGTCAATTCCATCAGACATACCACCTATCAACCCACCAGAATACCAAATGGAGGTCTGTGCACCTAAGTGGAAAGAGGTAGAGCAGGCTGTGAGAAAGGCAAGGGCTTCATCATCTCCAGGGCCTAATGGAGTTCCGTACAGAGTGTACAAGAGTGCTTCAGGAGTTCTGCGAATTCTGTGGAAATTGATAAAAGTGGCATGGGAAAAACAGGTTGTACCTAGAGCATGGCGCAGAGCAGGTGGAGTCTTTATACCTAAAGAAAAAGATGCTACAAGCATCAGTCAGTTTCGTCCTATTTCACTATTAAACGTTGAGGGTAAGATTTTCTTCAGCATTATTGCCCAGAGATTGTCCACCTACCTGTTAAAGAATGGCTTCATTGACACCTCAGTTCAAAAAGCGGGTATTCCAGGGTTCTCAGGATGCTTAGAACACATCAATGTTATCTGGCAACGAATTCAGTCAGCTAAAAAGGAGAGGAAGGAGCTCCATGTGACATTCCTGGATTTGGCTAATGCATATGGTTCAGTGCCACATGAGCTTCTTTGGGCAGCATTTGATTTTTTCAGAGTACCAATGTCAATAACAAATTTAGTGAAAGCCTATTTTGGAGATTTGCAATTCAGTTTCTCAACTCCAAAATTCAGCACTGCATGGCAATGCCTAGAGGTTGGAATAATGGCAGGATGCACCATTTCTCCACTGGCTTTTACCATGGCGATGGAAGTAATCATGAGGGGATCAAGATGGGTAGTAGGAGGAGAGCGCTTGGCTTCTGGGATGCGACTACCAACAATCAGAGCATACATGGATGACATGACAACCATGACTACAACAGTAGCCTGCACTAATCGGTTATTGGGGAAGTTAACAGATAATATTGAATGGGCACGAATGAAATTTAAGCCCTCTAAATCAAGGAGCATCTCGATAGTTAAAGGAAAGGTAGTAGATAAAACATTCTTCATTAATGGTGAGGCAATACCAACAGTTTCTGAGAAGCCAGTGAAGAGTCTTGGGAGATGGTACGATGGGGATCTAAAGGACACAGTTCGGGTGGGAGAAGTTAGACGACAAGCAGTGGAAGGGTTGAAGAGCATAAACAGCTGTGCTCTACCTGGTAAACTAAAACTCTGGTGCTTTCAGTTTGGTCTACTGCCGAGGTTGCTGTGGCCACTGACCGTGTACGAGGTTTCTTTGACAACAGTGGAGAAGCTGGAAGCGTTGGTAAGTTCATACATCAGGAAATGGTTGGGAGTTCCACGCTGCCTCAGCAGAGTAGGACTTTATAGTAAAGGAATATTGCAGCTGCCAGTCTCTGCTTTAACCGAGGAGTTCAAGTGTGCCAAGGTCAGACTGGAAATGACCTTAGTAGAGTCACGCGACAAATGTGTAAGGGAGGCAGCCCCTGTGTTAAAAACTGGTAGAAAGTGGTCAGCAAAGAAATCTGTAGTAGAGGCAAAGGCTGCCCTTCAAATTAGGGATATCGTGGGACAGGTACAGCATGGAAGAGGGGGTTTTGGGCTCAGTTTAGCTCCTCCTAAATGGCACAAGGCAGGCCCAGCTCAAAGGAGGAAGCTGGTAGTCAACGAGGTGCGACAGCAGGAGGAGAGGATGAGGTGTATAAAGGCCATTTCACAGGCCAAGCAGGGAGAGTGGATGAGATGGGAGAGTGTGGAACAACGTAAGATGGGCTGGCAAGACCTTTGGTCAATGGAAGAGAGTAGGATCAGTTTCCTTATTAGGTCAACATATGATGTTCTCCCATCACCGCAGAACCTAAACCTCTGGGTAGGAGAGGATCCCTCTTGTCCTTTGTGTTCATCACCTGCCACATTAAGGCACATTTTGACAGGATGTAAGGTGGCTCTTAGCCAAGGTCGGTTTACTTGGCGCCATGACCAAGTACTGCGATGTTTGGCTTTAGCATTAGAAGGCAAGCGTAACATGACCAATAAGTTGCCACCTGTTCTAGCAAAACATTACATGCAGAAGACAATATTCCTCCGCCCAGGCGAGCAACCACCAAGAAAAGGTGTTAACACCAATTCTCGCCCAGGACAACTGGAAGCTGCTAGGGACTGGAAGATGCTGGCTGATCTTGACCAACGGCTTATTTTTCCACCTGAGATTGCCACCACTAACCTACGACCAGATATTGTTTTGTGGTCTGGATCAGCACGCATTGTTCAACTGATAGAGTTAACAGTGCCATGGGAGGATGCGGTAGATGAGGCATATGAGAGGAAGAAACTGCGGTATGCTCATCTGGCCACTGAAGCAGAACAGCGAGGATGGAGAGTCCAGGTTTATCCAGTGGAAGTGGGTTGTCGAGGTTTTGTGGCACACTCTACAACCCGGTTCCTCAGAGACGTCGGATTCAGTGGCCAAGAGTTGCGTCGCACAGTAAAGAACTTATCTGAAGCAGCAGAAAGGAGCAGCAACTGGCTGTGGTTGAGACAGAAAGATTCTAGCTGGCTGTGTACAGGCCGCCACGCTACGGTTTCGTAGAGTTCTTGAAAACTTGAAGAGTCTGTTGGTTTGTTTGTATACGTTCCTGTGGATATTGCGTGAATGACGGGTGGTTGGGTAGATATTGTGTTTTGCAGTAGGTGGTATGCCATACGGAACCGTTGTCCACTGAAACTACATATTAACGCACCAGTGGGGCTCGACAGCCTTAGTCAACGGGTTGGCGCGTATGGTTGGGTTGCGGAGAGATTGTGATATTGTGGTTAGTTCTCAGCAGCAGGAGGGATGTGGAGGTCAGTAAGCTGGGCTGAGTTGAGTGGGGGACGGAGGGGGGTGACTCTGGGACGCCAGAGTCACTGTCGAGCCCTCTTGAGGGGTCGTGGGCTAGTCGACGAAACACTGAGGACGGAAGGTGCCCACTTGAAGACCCTAGAGATGTCCCCTACTCTGTTCAATCCAGACGGTTGTCGTGCTGGTCCTGTAGTTGCAGCCGTCGCGTGCGCTAACGCGCCAAGTACACTGCTGCCGTTAACGCCGGACAGAAGGGGAGTCACACTACCTTATGGAAAGAAGCGTAAATGGATGGAGAAGCATAGTTTACTGTAAAGCTACGTCTTAGTTTTGCTTATCTTGGCGAAAGCCGAGTACAAATCAGCATGAAGTTTTAACATCTACTCTCGTGTAATGGAAATCATCTTGGGGCACTTACAACATAAGTGAACAATTGAGGAAATGTGAAGCTAATAGTTTTATAAAAGCACTTGCATTCATTTCTTTTTTCTGTAAAACAATTTGAGCTGTAAAGCTGTTTAAATACATTTTTATAGCCGTTTTAGAGATTTAGGGTTTGCTGCATTTTTAATGCTGAAATCATTGTTTATGTCTTGTAGCTATAATTTTGAAACCGAGTATTTTAATGTTTATGAATTGGTTTCATTCACTTCCATTCTAAGTGCCTAAGAGTTTTTCTTTTTTTAAAGAAAAGAAAGGGCAAGTGGACATTCATAGACAACTAATTGTCTTTTCTGAAAGCATAAATAACAATATTTACAATTTGAAAATGATGAAACTGGTTTCACGGGTGCAAACCTGCTTGTGAGAATCCCAGACCACACAGCTTCTGATTACAGAAAAATAGAGACTTGCTGATGATGTTTTGGGTTTAAACGCTTGCACTCAAACAACTTGTTTTCCCACAAGCTCGAATTGCACTTTACACAGTCAAGCCAGTTCTTCAGTCGTATTATTCTCAACTGTTGAAACTATAGGCTAAGTTAAGCACAATACATCAGTGCACATTAAAATAATATGAACTAATTATATCAGAGCTCACTTTCACAATCTACATTATTTCCCACACATTCAGTTTCACAAGAAACCATGTCACATTCTAGAAGTTAAACACGTTGTGAATTAATATTTCTCTTTATAGGTCTTTAAAAGAATATTTAATGGGAAAAAAAAACAGATGGAGAAGCACCAGAATAACAAAATTAGGACCAACATTTTGGATTGGTGTGTAGAATAACTGGAAAACTCAGGCCAGAAATATTACATCCGCTAATTCAAAGCAATTTGACAGTGTTGGAGTTGTCATGAACAACAGATATAGATGTAAGAGCACACTCACTGAGGTCTTTGCTGTATTTGTCGTATTCCTTGCGAGTGACTAGTTTTAAAGAGTGCTGACTGATGGTTACTGTCTTGCCGCCGATGGCAAGTTTGACTACAACTCTGGCGTTATCTGGATCCACTCCCTCGATCTGTCAAAGAAACGGTGGACAAAAAAGGAGACAAAATGAGCTAAAAAAAAGAAACACAGACAGGGAGAAAATCAAGTAGAAATGTCACTCAGACTATTATATTCTAGTTAAAAAATTACTTTTTTTTGCATTTCATATTTATTTATTTTACTCAAGCACATATGCACGCATATATATATATATATATATATATAAATAATTTAACAAAAACATGTTTTTCATTTACAGGAGAGGGAGCTAACAACTTTTATTAACCACCAACCAAAGCTGATAACCTTAAATATAAATGGAAGATATAAATAGTAGTATATATAAAGTATATATATAGATATAAGTAGCTATAAACAGGGCCAGATTATGAACACAAGCCCACAACATTTTTTTAATCATATCTCCAACACACAGAGATACAATGTATTGTGTATATATATACAAATATGTACAAATATTCCAGGCTACAACACATTAAAAGTATTAATACCAGATATGAGATCACAGGAAACAGGTTTCTAGACACAGCATTTGTAATTACCGTTGTGTGCAGTTTCTCTCGACACTTCAGTTTACATGGTCGGATCTATTCAAACTGGTTTCAACTAGGACATAAATGGCCTGGATATAAAATCTCATACTTTTCTCAGATCATTAATACTTAAAGTCCCCCTGTAGTCAATAATTGTATTCCTTAAAACTCATCTCTGATCACCAAAATTACATATTTAAGTTTCATATATACGTTTTTTCCTCAAAAAAAATTCATGTAACTTTACTACACCCTGGCCTTTTTTAGAGTATTATTTGGTTCTATGAATATGCTAATTAGCCCCGCCTCCACTCAGATCCACTCGTTGACGTGATTGGTTACAAGGTAGTTTGTGTCGTCAGTAACACCAGCGATTTCAAACCGTGTTTTTGAGACTGTGTTTGGTTCACTGCAATTTTAATGAGAAAGTACTCAGCAATGGTATTGACTTATGAATTTGCATATGGTTTGTCTTAACATATTATAGACATATACACAACATTGAAAACTTGATTTTCACCACAGGGGGACTTTAAAATCTTATATCTAATATCTTAAAAGCATAATATATGCGTTGCTGGCTCACAAAATGCCTTGAAGTGGTCCATCTTATGTAATTCTATCATCTCTTTAGTGTGTCAGTACACGGGTTCTCCATTACGGTCACAGAACTGAATAGAGATGAAGTAAAGTCCACTCACCTTCCCGTACAGATCTTTATGCGCTCCTGCTACAACCTGCACACATCCTCCAGGCCCCAGAACCAGCGCCTCCTCTTCTTTCCCCCTCTCATCACCGGGTTTAGGGGGTCTCTTGGGGACACCGGGCTCCAGGTCTCTAATGGATGAGCGATCAGCACCCAGACCCAGTCCTTTAGGCCTCAACTGATGCTCTATAGGCTTCACATCTCTAACAGGTAATAAAAGAAACTAAATAATTAAAAAGGAGCAACTAGGACATTTTAATAAACCACAAGCTAACAGAATCTCCATCATGTGCACGCACGCATCCCGCCCCTAATAAAGAGCAGCCTGTGTGTTTCCATGTCCATACAAGTGGACAGATGGGCCCGTAAGCACAAAAGATTAAAAAGTCTGCGGCCAGTCTGCGCCAAAGATTCCCTCAGCCGGTCTGAAATAATTCTTCATTGCATTTGACATAAAATCATAATCTCGCGTCATTAATGTCTCCAACTGGGACAATAATCCCAACACAAGGAAACATGAGCGGAAAAGACTCGCAGAGAGCCAAACATCACGTGCATTAGAAAGCGCTTATTGCACAAAACAGTGATTCAAGATTCTTTATTGTCACTATACAAAGGTATAGCGAAATGAATGCAATCCTTACGGTACCATCACATATAGCTTGTGCTAACTAACATTTAATTTAAATAATACAATTTAAGTAGAATAGAAAGAGTACAATAATGGCCAATATACAGTACAATACATCAATAAACAATATGCCATAATCAAGACAACACAAAGACAATATAAAACAATAAAACCAGTGCAAGCAAGGCGACAGTCAAATAGTGCAGAAAAATATAAGTAAGTACTGAAGCGAGAGTAAGTGCAACAGAATGCAACCCAATTTAAATAATATAGTGTAACGTATATATGCTGAAATATACAGAGTGTGTTGTTAACCTTCTATAAGATGAGATATAACATGACCCATCAGATTGGTGCATTTCTCGGTTTATGAGTATGTGTGTGTGAGCTGGCATTGTTCAACTCCCGTATAGCGCTGGGGTAAAAACTGTTCTTGAGTGTATTGATCTGCGATTTGATGGACCTAAATCGTTTACCAGAGGGCAGCAATTCAAACAAATGATGACCCGGATGGAAAGGATCCTTTAAAATGTTTCCTGCTCTTCTGAGACAGTGTGTGCAGTGTAAAGCTCTTTTAGAGACGATATATAAGTATATAATACACACATACAATTAGGGATGAATGAGGACAAAATCACCTAGGCTATAACTGATCATTTTTTATTTTATTTTAAATAATTGTGTTGAATTTTCAGCTTTAAAACATTTAATTTTTAATATCACGATGACCATTATGGTACATTGCACTGTACTTTTGAATATAAGATTTTCAAGAACATCTGACAAGATTTTAAATATTAGGAGAAGATCAATCAACATGTACCTTTTGTCAAAATCCTTTATGACTGATGGATATTTTATTAGCTTGTACTAGGTTCAACCCTCTGAGAAATCTTCAAAGAAATTTAAATTTAAAGTTAAACCAAAATCTTTACCAAAAATTGATTTTAAAAATACATATATATATAGTTTTACCATAAACTTTTCTCACCAAAAAAATAAAAAAAATCACAGACACTGGCATGGAAATGATTAATGAAACAAACATCTGAATATGCTGAGTGTCAAGGGCACTTAAAAAAAAAAGAGATTCATTTTTTAAATTGAAAAACAAAAACACTTTAGTCGAAACTGTGGCCTACATAGTGGCACACACTGAGCCGTGGTGCATTTTTCTGCTCCCTCCCACTCGTTTTAATTACTTTAATTACAATTCATGGAAAAAAAAAAGTGGTCCTTACTGTTTAAATGTGCGTCCAATTCCCTCTCCTTGCTTCCAGCCCATTCCCTTCAGCATGGCCAACCCATAAGCCTCCACAGGAACAAGTTCATAGTCGGCCTCTGTGGACTAAATCAGAACGAATCAGATCAATATTCAATACACATCTCAAACATCTCCACAGAGAAATCAAGCACAAGCCAACACGTACAGACTTACAAAGCAACCAAAAACACATTCAGACACTAATTAGAAACACACACCTCAACCTACAGAGAAGCTGATAATTAGATGAAATATAACAGCTTCTTTTTTACGCAGTGGAAGAAACAAGCTCTTTGACAGGCAGAGTAGAATTCACTCAAAATCGTGTTAAAGCCTAATCAAGCTGTAGCTGGCGCTCTCACAACAATCTACAAGTGATGGACTTGCACTGCAGGAGAAAATGACACTGGAGGTGTGTGTAAGAAAGAGAGAGAGAGAGAGGTTTATGCAGAGTAAGCTGTTTGGATGCAGCAGGAGAGTTCTTCATCACTCATTTCATTAGGACACACCCTTATACTACACACACACAAACACAATGTGAATGTAACAAGAACACTGCGTGTGCAATGACCTTGAACTGCCCTGTGCTGACACCACATTTGGCACCATTACTGGACAACAGCTCGAGCAGCAGAACATACACTCATAGAACACTAATGAGTTTTAATAAAATACACTTCACAAATCAACAGCTACAACTGCATTAGAAATCCTCAGCATGTTCAAACACACTGATATGGCCCAGATTTGCAATTAAAACTGAGAGGGATCTTTATCTGTATACAGAATTGAACACAGCCATATACAGCGAGCACAAAAGGTGCAGTACCAATAATAGCCATTTCTCTTTTAAACAGTTAGCTTGCATGATGGGATTTTTACTGAGGTACATTTTTTTAAATTTCGAGACGGTCAGCGAGTAAATGCATTGGCGCTGTGGTGTGTTTTGAGCCGAGCTGATACATTTTCTGAGTGGCGCCCTGTTCAAATGTGCAGCTGTTTGGTTTAGCTGTTTAATAAAAAAACAGTTATTTTGAATTATAATATGTTTTACATTATTACTGTATTTTTGATCAAATAAATGCAGCCTTGGTAAACGAAAGAGACGACTTTCAAATGCATTTTTAAAAATCCCACCCCGGTTTTAAATGATAGTGTATCGACAAAATATATTAACTTATTCTCTTACGAAACAAGTTTTGGCTGTTAATCATAACCAAATTGCTTATAGCATTAGTCATTGTTTTAGCAAACTCAGCACCGTTTTAGCTCCATTTTGTTTAGCTAGACAAACTGTACCAAAATACAAAAGGAGAAAACCAAATATTGCAAACCTTTTTGTTTAGAATTTCTCAACTCGCAGTATTTGCAGAACGTTAACTCTGTACGATTGTGACTCAGGCCATCCTTAAAAATATTCTTGTTTGCCGTAACCCGACCGACCCTGTCGAATTAGGACCGACCCAATTATTTATTTTTTTCCCCTTTTAGTCCGACCGACTTGCCGGTTGTAAACTTGCATTAAGACCGACCGATTTTTTTTTACTCTTCAAACAACTAACACAAATGCAATAAAATAATATAAATTATATTATAGTAAGTATTGTGAATATAAATTGCGTAGGCTATGTTCTTTCTTTTAAATAAAACCCCGTGGCGTCATCTATTATGATTATGTTTACACCATTGGTTTATGCATGTCACATGGCCTGTGCGTTCGCTTCGTTTCATTCACTGTCAATGGTTCGCGCTCGGTGATGATGGCTGCGGCGCGGCTGCTTGTGAAATACGTCTGTATATGAGCCTACATTTAGTCGCTCATTATTCGAAATTCTTAATGGTCAAATAGGAGAATAGGGAATCGATGTTAACGGCCTTTTCTCGGAGCGCGTCCAGCTCGTCATGATATGCCCACCGCGAACGCGCGTCACACAGCAACTGCAGGCTCTGACAAACAAACACACATAAGTGTGGGAAGCCAAACACACCGAAAGTGGGACAAACGGCGCGGTGTTACAGAGTTCGCGCTGCGCTGACTTGTAATCTGCGTGGCTCAATGGACCGAGCCGCGACAGACTCGACAGCGCAGAGAGAAGTGTTTGCTTGCGCCAGCCAATGGTCAGCGCGGCGCGAACTAATCTCACCAGCGCCGCGCTGACCAATAAAACAGCACATCCCATACCGAAATGTACTAAATAGCACAAAAGAAAATCGACCATTCCATAATATGTCAGGACTACTTAATCGGCCTATAGTTTCTACAATGCGCCTAGCCATTTGACCTCACTGATTTCCGTTAATAGCAGATGTTTATGGGTCAAATCTCTCACTCTCTCCCTGCAACTTTTTGTTACCCTCCTTTCCTGCCCCTAGACCAGAAAGGGGGCTTGTAATAGTATGGGTCAAATGTAAACGAATGGTGCCAAACGCGCTGTTTTATTGGTCGGCGCGGCGCTGGTGAGATTAGTCATTTTAATTTATTTGTTTCCCTCTGAAAATCCACTTTCATGGAAATCTAGTGGCTCCTTTTTTTTCTTCTTTTTTTGATTCAGCCTATTTTTTTTTCCAAATGAATGCAGCTGGAATTAATGCAATAAATATGTTTTTTTGACAAAGATTTCAAATTGTTTGTGGTCTATAACCTGTATCAGAATGAGGTTCGCAATGGTGGGCCCGAAGGCATGGGTTGAAGACCCAGTCAGTGACGTCACGATATGTAAATTTGTTTAGATTCATACCGACGTAATCACCATGACCAAAATTATCCTTTTTTTTTTACATTGAATCTTGAAAAAAAAAAAAATAGACCTACCTACTGACCCTTTTATTTTATTTTATTGCTGTTACTGCAAACCAAAATATTTTTAAGGATGGCCTCACTTCTGGATCTATAAGGACAGATTCATCCAGCTTTACAAGATTTTTCCATTTAATTCAATAGCATTGCTATGATGAATTTGACACTAAAATGTATCCTATGTGCAGGATTCTCAGGAGGAGATAAAGTATTTGCAAAAGCGTTTAAGTCTTTAATTATTTAAAGGGACAGTTCACCCACAAATTTACTCACCCTCAAGTAGTTCCGAACCTGCATGAATTTCTTTCTTCTGCTGAACACAAAAGAAGATATTTTGAAGAATATGGGTAATCAAAACAGTTGATGGACCCAATTGAAGTTTATCAACTGTTTGGTTTCCCATATTCTTCAAAATAACTTATTTTGTCTTAATTTTTGGGTGAACTATCCTTTTAATAATGTGTAACACACCATTCTGAGAACCAACATTCATTGCTGGATAGACTATCTGAAAACAGTAAAGGGGCTCAACTTTGGCTTAAACAGGTTAGGTGAAACAGTTCCTTCAATCCATCTTTTTTTATCCATCAAGGACCTACCGACTCTGGTCTCATATCCACGTTGACTTTATCACCATCCTCAAAGCCCTCGGGAGCCTGGTTCTGCATGAGAATAGGAATGGCAAGGTTCGGATCCGACTGTGGTCCGTTCTTCCATCTCTCCTGGTGTTTTTGAGACTCTGTAGTAGATGACATTCAAACAGAACTACATTAATACTTTATTATTCATTTAGTAAATGCTTTCTTATAAATAAAAACCCTGACTTACTGTATTTTTAGTACAATGACAAGAAGTAGAGCATACAACCTTTGACTTACCAGCCCAGATCTATAACCATCAAGCCACAATATTGCCATAATTGCATGTTAATTGCAATTAAATGAAACTGTATTCTAGTTTAAATGTATATGAAATGCCATTAATTGAACATAAGAGTGTTTTGACATACTTAAGTAGTACTTAAGTACTTTAAATATAATTTCATAATTACTTCTATTGTCTTTGAAATATAGTTAAAATGTACTGCTAAATGTACAGACAAGCATTTACAGTAAACTAAAATAGGCTATGCTTTAATGTAATTTCTATTGAAACTTTTTGTTGTGCATTTCAACGTATTTGGAATATAGTATGTTACCTTTTAAATGTAATTTTAAATACAGTTAAAAATTATAATAAAGTACTTTTATGTGCTTTAGTATGTTAGTCAAGTCAACATATCAAAATAAGTGTACTACCTTAAAACATGACAAAAAATATTATAATAATGAATTAAAGGTGTACTTAAATGTATAAAGAAGCAGTCATGAAGGTGCACTCTCTTTAAGTACACTTAAGTGGCATTTTATTTCATTAATATATCTGCAAGTATAGTATTTGTTTTTATTTAACTTTAAGATTTGAGGTGTAATAGTATAAGCGTTCATTCAATTCAATTAAGCAAAATTCGTTTTCACGAGGGAAATCCTTAAGATTTATTGCCATAATCTGAAACTGTAGGGTAAATTTGACATCTCACAAGTAAACAAAAAGTAAACAAACAAGGTTGTGTTTTGAAATCTAGTTAGCGACTTGGGCAGCCTTTTAGGGCATCATATGCAACTTTTGCAGTACATTGACAACCTTTTGTAAACACTTAACTATTAAAATATTAATTTACAAATGTACTGCCGTGGTATTCCAGTCTAAATGCCATGAATCATGTAAGTTTGGTAATGTTATATGTGTGGGTGCCCAAAAACGCGTCCTTAAAGGCATCTCACTAGGTTTTTAAAACGCGTCCAAAACCAACTGAACGAATAATAGAGCAACACACCTTCGATGAGTTCTTTGACGGCTTGAGACTCCACCGTGTCCTGCTCCTCCCGGGACGGGTCTTTGGTCTTGTCCTCGCTGCTCTTTTCCCCTCGCTCAGCATCCTGTCGGTACCACCGGTTCTTGTGGATCAACGGGATAATAAGCTCCTTCGGTTTCTCCACCGGTTTGGTTCTGTAGAAGCAACAGGCATAAACAAGTTGAAGGACACGAAAAGATATAACGTTAAACAATCAACATTGATTACACTGCTTTTATTGAAACTATTTGCTAACCTAGCTAACGTTAGCATTCAACTCACCCTTTTAGTTCTTTCCCTTCTACTTCAACTAAAAAATCTCGCTCTTCCGCTTTCCCGGGTTTGGCCCTGCTCAATGTTTTACTAAAACCGAATGATATTGGGGCAGATTTTTTGCCCCCATCATCTTGGCCAATATTAATCTTCAGTGATTGACGCTCCTGGTGCCACTCCGGCGACGCCATGTTTGTTGTGTGTTGTAATCGCTGGTAAATGTAGTTTTATTGTGCAAACATCTCTATACCCGGAAGGGTTCGAAAGACGACAATTCCCATAGTGCAACACGGTACAAACGACTTTATCTCTTCTTTCTAATGTTTTAAATATGTAGAGAAAATGTTGTCTAACATTGGTAAGGCACAATTACCTGTTCTATTATTTTGTTAGTAATATATCATTATATTAGTAATTAATAGCTACAGTTCTACCTTGTTTAAACTCACCTTGCAGTGACCCCTATTGGAAATTAGCGGTGAAAATATAAGCCAAGCATAGTTTAGTACAAATGATTAAATTAGAAATATATATTTTTTGCTCCCAAGTATGGAAATTGTTGTAATAAATATTAATATACAGGAGTTATGCAAGCCTAAAGCACATAAAGATTGATCTAGTTGTTTAGCCTATATTTGCCCGCAAAGTGTGGGCGTAGGTTTGTAAAAGGTTTCATAAAAGTGATTAATCAGTGATTAATAAAAGCGTTTTTTATTATTATTATTATTTTTAAATGACCTATTCATCTTTGACTCTCTTGCCTAATCATAGACTATGCCCATCCATAACTATTTTTCTTTATTAAGACAGAGCCCTTCTGGGAAAAAAAATTTAATGATCTAAAACCAGCCTATTGTTTGCTGGTCTTAACTGGTTTATGTCGATTTAGCGAAAATGACAGTTCCCAAAGCCCATCTGAAACCAGCAGAGCAATCTGACCAATCTCAGAGACCAGCAATTAAACCATCTTACCTTAATTCTTCTTCTTTTCTTTAGCAGGGAGAGTGTGGTAAAATTTGAAATGCCCTTCCACACTTTCCCAACTCACCTATCATCTCAATCCTCACATTTCACCTGTCCGCATTCCCTACCTTGACCTATCACGCTTTTAACAAAACCTGCAAACTACCTGGTTCGTTTACACAAGGGGCGGATCTTCCCCTTATATCTATCCCTCCCCTCAGCGCCTCCAATATCGCTTCTTATTCTCTTATTACAGTGTTCTTTCCTTATTGCCTGCGCCTGGGAATATCGAAGCGTGCGCTAGATGCGATCTGAACCGGTGACACGCATCGCTTCCCGCAGCAATGCCTTCACGGACATCCGTGACACTGTCCTCCAGTTCCTAATCGATACTGTCGCCGTGTTCTGCTTATTGAGCGATGCGAGGAGCCAGACTCAGCATAACCGCTGCAATGTATGTAACCGATCAGCGCATTTATCCAGAAAGTCATAACAATTACGCGGATAAAAACGCCTCGGGACACACGATGAGGAGAAAGATAACTATGAAGGTAAGATTTGGGCTCTGCCATTGATTCTAAGTGGACGTGTTGCTATGTGAAAAATGGAAATCACTCTTGGTGCTGCTAATACCAAGAAAATTCAAAAAAGCTATTCAGTTTGTTTGGGACATAAGTTATCATTGGCCCAAAAGCCACAATCCAATGACAGTGTCTGTTGTTTTGGAGTGTCTACAACCAAGTGCAAACGTGCCCAGATAGCAAAATTTGTCTGGCCCACCTCTGGGCCTCAACCTTGCTTCAATTCTGGCCCAGTTCTGGCTGGGTCCCCGGCCCAAAACTGGCCCAACACACTGACAACGGACTCAAACAACTTCCTCTGGCCCAGATGTGGCCCACACCCTGTAAAATGACTCTTATTAATTGATATGGCCCAGGTCTGGCCCAGGCACTGTAAAATGACTCTTATTTATTGATATGGCCCAGGTCTGGCCCAGGCACTGTAAGACGGATCTGGCTGAGAGTCGGCTGGGTCCCCGGGCCAGATGTGGCCCAGAAACTGGCAGACAGTGAAACACAAATTCAACCGTTTAAAAAGGGTTTTTATTATAAAATTAACAAATACACTTTAATACAAACATATTAATGAACAAAATACACTTTATTAACATTTAACAACAAAACAATTTTAAACAAAATAATAAGTGAATTGTATTTATGATTAAAAGAAAAACATCATTCTCTTTCACACACAAACTCTCTTTCACTCTTTAACACTAAATAAATTCCTTTTGCAAATGTCAAGTCACCATTAAATATATAGCCAGCCATATACAGTAATGACTGTTTCAAAGCAGCTTTAAACAGGAAAATGATCAATGATGCAAACAGAGTTCAATTTGGCTGTAAAGCTGCTCTAAAAATAAAATAGTGTCATTGTTCAGTTGAATTCAACTGTTTATTCAGTTCTGTTCAATAACTGTATAAAGTATATCAATTATAAAAAGAGTCCATTTTCATTATTAAGCAGCTCTGCAGAAAACAGTGATGTCATCGTCCAGCTCAGTTCAGTTCTCATATAATGGTGTCAATGCCGGCCGATCAGTAATATTAAGAATAAGTGTCCCCAACTAAGCAAGCCAGAGGTGACAGTGGCAAGAACCCAAACTCCATCAGTGACAAAACGAAGAAAGTAAAACCAGGCTCAGTCGGGGGTCCAGTTCTCCTCTGGCCAAACAACGAACATGGTGTGTGTTAGGGTTCCAGGCTGCTTCACAAGTCAGATTGTGGATTGATATCATTCAGAGTATTTTATTCAGCTCCTTTTGCTTGAAGATTGGAAAAGATTACACCAAGGTAAAAGAGTAGCAAAACTCGAGAGCATGTAGATGTGAATTTGAGAATTTGTACAATAAATATTTGTACTTGTACAATAAAATTTACACTCACAGCTCTAATGTAAAAACCTCCAATGTGAAAACCCTGTATTAGGCATTTGCAACTTCTCAAATCTGCCATTGCAATTGTTTTAATTGCCCCGCCTTTCTCTCATCGCCACTCAGTTTGCAAATGCACAAGTTAGTTACGCATCTAATATATTACGAAAATAGTTGCAAAGTCAATGCGTGAAGATTTGAAATAGCAATGGCAGATTTGAAAAGTTGCAAATGCCTAATTGAGGTTGTACTGCGAATGTGAATGAACGAATACAAGTTTTGTGTCTGTCATTGTATTTCTGTGAATGGCATTTTACACATTTGTGACTACTTGTCTGCAGCTTCAAATTCAGAATACAGGTTTGTGACTATTGTCTGGGAGTGAAAATCTCAACATTCAACAGGTTTTCAAGGTCAAATAATTATTGTACAAGTTCTTAAATTCACATCTATGTTCTCCAGTTTTGCTCCTCCTTTACCTTCATAAGATCACGCCGGCGTCGGTGAGAGGGGAGTTGAAGCTGGCCGTTGGGTCTGTGTGGAGAACTGGTCTGTTTCTCGTGGATCTGATTCGATGACTGTGCCGAGGACTGTTGTGTCAACGAGGTCTTCACAGGCGTTTGTTTCTAGGTCTTGTCTAGTTGTGATGTTCTCGTCTGGCATTTAGGCTGTTGTGGTCATCTTAGGGTGCAGGTCCACCATCTGGTCTGGATGCAGACTAGATCCGGCTGACAACAGTAGCCTAACCTTGGGATAAGAATGAGACAGAGAGACTAACATTAGCATAGATGCCATTCTTTTTACGATGTAACAAATACATTTGGTGTAAGCTACCTTACCGGATGTGAATTATAGAAATGTGGGAGTGTGTTATGTTTATGCTAGGTTAAAGAGTTGTGTTTTTAATATAGATTTAAACTTATCTTGTGTCTGCCCCTGGATCTGCTGCCAGTTCATGGATCCCTCGATCTCCATTTCAGCAACATTAGCCATGAGAGGGTTTCTCTGAACTGCATCTTTTAAATAAAGGAATAGATATTGTGAAGTCAAAAAAATTCAATCTTAAGCATTAGTTTAAGCACATAGGTTAGACAAATGCTGTTGCCAGAGTTCACGCAGCAGTTTAAAATATTGGTAACACTTTATAAGGTCTCATTTGTTAAAATTAGGCTAGTTAATGTGTTAACTACAGTAACATTAACATTGACCAATACATTTGTTACAGTATTTATTCATCTTTGTTAACATTAGTTAATAAAAATACAACTGTTCACTTTTGATTTAATAATGTATTAGTAAATGTCAAAATGAAAATTAACTAAGATGAATAAATTTCTTAAGTATTGTGCATTCTTAATCCATGTTAACTAATGTAGTTAACTTATATTAATGAATGAAACCTTATTGTAGCAGTGTTACCAAAATATCTGTAAAAAGTGTTGGTGTACGATTCCAAACAGTGCGTTCAGATGAAACTTCAGTTTATGTTCGCTTAGTCATAGTAACGTTATCATGCCCACTGCAGTAAAAATGTTAAGAGAACTACCATTTTAATAACATTATACAGAGATATACGCTTTTTTTTTCTTTCACTCTAAAGAGCTGCTCTAAAAGCAGATTACGTTACCCAGCGAGCAAACAGTCGTCTATAATACGTCTAAAAGACGTAATTGTTAGACATCCAGAAGACGTCCTCACAGGAGCCAGAATGAAAGTTTTTTATACGTCTTTTCAGGACGTTGTTTAGACGTCAATTAAAGACGTGCTACAGACGTAATTTTTAAACATCCAGAAGACGTCCTCACAGGAGCCAGAATGAAAGTTTTTTATACGTCTTTTCTGGACGTTGTTTAGACGTAAATTAAAGACGTGCTACAGACGTAATTGTTAGACATCCAGAAGACGTCCTCACAGGAGCCAGAATGAAAGTTTTTTATACGTCTTTTCTGGACGTTGTTTAGACGTCAATTAAAGACGTGCTACAGACGTAATTTTTAAACATCCAGAAGACGTCCTCACAGGAGCCAGAATGAAAGTTTTTTATACGTCTTTTCTGGACATTGTATAGACGTAAATTAAAGACTTGCTACAGACGTAATTGTTAGACATCCAGAAGACGTCTTCACAGGAGCCAGAATGAAAGGTTTTTATACGTCTTTTCTGGACGTTGTTTAGACGTAAATTAAAGACGTGCTACAGACGTAATTGTTAGACATCCAGAAGACGTCTTTACAGGAGCCAGAATGAAAGTTTTTTATACGTCTTTTCTGGACATTGTATAGACGTAAATTAAAGACGTGCTACAGACGTAATTGTTAGACATCCAGAAGACGTCTTTACAGGAGCCAGAATGAAAGTTTTTTATACGTCTTTTCTGGACATTGTATAGACGTAAATTAAAGACGTGCTACAGACGTAATTGTTAGACATCCAGAAGACGTCTTCACAGGAGCCAGAATGAAAGGTTTTTATACGTCTTTTCTGGACGTTGTTTAGACGTAAATTAAAGACGTGCTACAGACGTAATTGTTAGACATCCAGAAGACGTCTTCACAGGAGCCAGAATGAACGTTTTTTATAAAAAAATTTTGGACATTGTTTAGACGTCAATTAAAGACATGCTACAGACGTAATTGTTAGACATCTAAAGGCAGCCAGAATAAAAGTTGTATTAGTCACGTTTTCTGTAGTATAAATGTCAAAGAAGACTGTTAAAGACCCATATTGAAACGGAAATCCCATTTGTGCATTTTGCAAGGATCCAACTTTAAAAAATCTTTACTTCAAAACAGTGGCAGTGAGTTAGTTCTCACTGAGAAAAACCCAGTTACTCATTGTTAATGGTTGTCGTGTCATGAAACTGCAGACACACAGACCATAGACCTAAATAAGATTTGAAAGAATTTTGATAATATTGAATACTCAATTGAATACGGGAACTGTGTAGTGTATATACAAGTCTTGCATTTGTATATCTTATCAATATAATTGTAATAAACTGCTTACCATTTGCCTGTAAACCAAACTGATCACTCCAAGAAATCAACTATTTAAATCTCAAAATATATATTTTATTACTATTTTGTTCTACTGGACCAAAACTTAAAAGCCAGAACAGTAAAGTTATAAATTAACACAATTTCCCTTTAAATAATCTATAAAATGTTGTTAAAACAGTATAACATATCAATTAACAAAATGTGGCTGCTATAAGCTTCACAAGCTTCATTTATAGCGGCAAGCCCCGACTCTCCCGGGGGCATGTTTCAGATGATCGGCTGCAGACTTTATTTGGGCCTCTGTTGCAGCTGGGTCCCATTTCATGACAGCAGCTACAATCAAAGCAAAAAAATACACATGTAAAATAAATAAATACAAACGCCACTGTTGTGGTTTAGCTTGCAGCAGAGATGCATAGAAAATTTTAGTACTCGAATCAATGAAATGAAACAGTTATTAAATCACAAATCAAGTAAAATTACATCAAGCCTGATATAAAGCATTCCACACACACATACATATATATATACACACACACACATATACATATATATTTTCGTATTCGTATTGAACCGTTCGGTACGAGGCTTTCGGTTCAGTGTGCATTACAAACCGAACGGTTTGTTGGACTATTTTTCCTGCTGACCAAAATTTCGTTATTTAAAATGTAGGGGCGTGGCAAGCGTGCTCATAATGTAAGAGATGCTGCCGCGACCACAACATTGCCCAACATCAAATAGCAAACGTAATGTAAGCGGAACGAAACTGCAGCTGCGCTACTCGTTATTGTGTGGTTGACGGATCGTTTATCAGTTTGGACCAATCCAGCGTCTTGATCAAGCGACACTGTTACTACACAGCACTAAGAGATCCAGTAAAGAAAGCAGTTGAATTTGCCACTGAAGTAATAATATCGCAGCGAGATCTAGTGAGAAACATTCACATTTCTCCGTTATTAACGGATCAAACAGCGCTGACGTGGAAAACAGGAATAAACATTGTGCCATGAATGAACTATCCAGTGCCCACAGATCAGCAACATTCACCATGGATTTACTGTAGTAACACTACTAACTGTAACCATGGAAGTTTGGCAGGAATAGTAGGCTATAATGCTTTCAAGTAACGTTACGTCGGTTTTATTTCGACATTATGAATAAAATTGCTGCCCTCAAATGTTAATCTGAAATAAAATAAACCTTTGTTTATAACTACTACAATATTACAATTAATTTTTTTCAAGGAGCAAGGAGCTGTTTTTGTTTTATATGCTCCTAAGAAGAGTCAAGTGTAGCTCCATCACTGCTCAAAGTAAAAAATTATCATACTTTGATGAAAAATTATTAAAAAAATTAAATCAAGGAAATTTCTCTGGCTTTTCTTTCTTTTTGCTGTATCAAAAACGTACCGAACCGTGAATTTTGTGAACCGTCACACCCCTAACATATATATTTATTTACATTTGAATAGTTATCAAAGACCTGTTTGTGAAAGGTTTTTTATTTTTATTATTGTTTATGTTAAAACTAGGGGTGTGACGGTTATTATATAACCGTGAGACCGATGGTTATAGTTGAACACCGTCATTAGAACTTGTGGTGGCAATTTTAATGATATTCATTGATCTTTAGTTAAATATAGATGATTCAAAGAATGTCACATGTGTGTCTCTCACTTGTAGTGAGAGAGGATTCTGTTTATGTACCTGGGGAGGCAGAAGAGGGAGACACTCCAGAGAACAGACGAACAAGGACCTCTGACCTAGATGTCAGAAGGCCACTTAGTGCAGGGGAGCTTAGTGGGCCAACTAGTGACGTCTATGGAAAACTACTGGGAGGAAGGCTCTGGGGGGAAGAAGGCCTTGAAACTAAGATAAAAGCTAGTTCAGTCTGTCTGGGGGTGTGTCACTCTTCTGCACAGGGTAACAACTGTGTATTAGACTGCTCCTATTCTTGCAAGAATAAATACTTCTATTTTATATAATTTGACTCTGAGTGTCTCTTACGCAGTGATGTTTGTTTGAGATGAATTTTTGCCACAATAAACTCTATAACCGCCAAAACCGTGTTATTAAAATATATTGCAGATAAGGTTATACTAATATCAGTGTTGGGGAGTAACGGAATACATATACCAGCGTTACGTATTCAGAATACAAATTATGAGTAGGCCTAACTGTAGTCTCCACAGAACAAAAAAAATTGTAAAAAAAAAAAAATTGGGTTTGCATTTATGAGGAAAAAACAATGTTACGGACATGAGCGCTCTGAACGCGGCACTAAAAGATGCTTTAAAAATTTCACAGACACACCAAACAGAAAGCACAAAACCTTTCTTTAAAGTGCATTTAGTTTTGTATTAATTGTATCTTAATTTTAATCAATGTTTCATCAACCAATTGCCTGGATTTAATAAATAAGAAGTAAATATAGCAGACGATAAACACGGAGGCGCCGGCGTGTGAACTGGAGCTCGTCTCATAAATTAACCGAAACTCAGCATATAAGGTAGCCTACTTGCCTTACAGACAGGTCTACTTTTAAACAGAACAATTCAAAACGTAAGAATACAGACTGCTCTCTGCTTATGTAATAAGCAGATAATCCGTATGAATTGTGTATTTCTCTCTGGCGCGTTGACTACTGCGAAGATCGTGAGTCAGCATCGTCAACTTCATCTTTGCAGCCGACACTGGCAAAGAAAACACTTGTTTATTAATAAACAATTAAAATATCTCATTGCTATATTTTACATATTCATAATCATTACTTTTGCCGGTTCTTTGTGACAGATTTTAGGTGCTTATTGGCAGCACCAGCCTTACATGTTACACCACCGCATCACCGCACCCACCAGAATAGGCCTGTTTGATTTTTTTTTGTTAAAGTCCCACTCCGATCATATTTTGAGCTATTTTTAAACATTCCCAGTGGTCTTTAAATTATGATTATGCCATTTTTAGCCAAAATCACAAAACCTGTGCCGTATTCTGGGACTTCGCTTCAGCAGAGCGGCA